TACGGGCATTTATTTTTATTTATTTCACTATTTATTTTATTTCAACCGGTTATTTTTTATAACGGATCCACGGTAGTTTGATTTTCATTTTAACCCTTTATAGGAGAGAACTACTTAAATATGTACAAAAAAATATTTGCTTATAAAAAATGTATGCCAGCGGACATGGAACTGTTTATCAAGCAATATGGTGAACAGATATTGGTTATATATTAATAATGAATAGATGGGATAAAATGACAAAATTATCACCACAAAAATTGAAAGAAACAGATAGAACCAAAAAAAAACAAAAAAACAAGCCAATTATAAAATAAAATACATTTCCTATTGAAAGTTAATTATACTGTATTTTTTTATATTCACTATTAGTTGTTGTGAAACATGATGAAAAAAAAGACGGAAAACACGAAGAGCATAAACATTTTTTAAAAAAACATTAGTAAGGAAAAATTATTATTAGTGCGCAAAAATTAATAAAATCGCTAATTAAACTTTCAACGAATATCAACTGCAGTATAAATGGGTGTGCTATAAACTATTAACATTTTTAAAAAATTATAAATTAAAAAAATATTAAAAATTTATGAAAATTATTAAAGGTTTAAGCTGATTAAAGGTTTCTTCAAATATCAACTGAAGAAAAAAAATGTTTGTAATACTATTTGATAATGTAGCTATTACTTCTTATAATTTCATGCGAAAAAAAAATCTAATAAAAGGTAAGAGGGCTGCCCTATGTGTGACTTTGATATTTTTCAAATTACATAATATGTTGAAATGTAAATTCATAATTGGGGCAAATAAATGCACAAGAACAACTACAACTTCGTTGACCTGCATTCACTGCCGTACTGATATACAACTTTTCGTATAACTTTTATTTATACTAGTAAACTAAAAATTAAATCACTTAAATTATTTTGTATGTGCAACACGCGAATTCTTCATTAAATATCATCTCTTCACTAATATATAATTAATGAAATAATTATGATAAAATGTATTTACCGATAAATATTTTTGATAAAATTCATATAAATATACTATCTGAAATGGACTAACATTTCTTTAGCGAGTGTCTTAATTTCCTTACGTACTGTTAGTTAATGTTTTGATAATGATTTATGTGAGAAATCCTTGAATTTGATTATTTTTAGATCGCAATACAATCGTGTGAAAACTAGCGATCAAGGTATTGTCACACGACAGCTTACATTGTTTCAAATTCTAATTTTTATTCAATGGCATTTTGATCATATTAAAGCACTTTTTCAATTCCTGTAACTTTTTCAATTTCGAAATGTTAATTCCATTTGAAATGTATCCATGGTTTTAGATCATTTTTTTTAATGTGACAAAATATTAGATACGACCTTTTACAAATGCTGTTGTATCCTGTTTACGATTTTGTTTCAATACGAGATGATTTGATCATTATATAAACAACACAATTATTTACATTTCTATTCATAAATTATTTACTATTTGAATGGTAAAAGTGAAACAACATAAATACTTTTTCAGTCGATCTTTTGAATAGTAATATCAAAGATGTTAAAGATATTAACACCTAAAACTGTGTTAACCATATATTTATTCTTCCAAAAAATAAAATGTAATTTTTAATTACATTTACGTTACATATATTTATTTTTTTAAATGAACAGATATATTTTCCTATCAATATCAAAATCGTGAATATCGTCGCTTTTTCTGACAAATTTTTATATTTCTATATTTATATGAATGCTCTACATTGGGACAGGTTTTAAACGGCTCCACCTATATAACCTCTCATTACATCTCAAGTGTCATACATCATCATGGCTCGGAGAGATACACCAACCTTACAGAAAACATAATAATACAAAATACTAGTACAAAGAGTTAATAAACTTAGAACGAGTGTTAGAGATTAATTTGACCACAAATACTCTTACACTGGATAGGCAGACCATTCAAGAGTTGTTTAATAAAATAAATGAAAAATATAATGATGATTTGCAAAGAGCAGGAAGAGCAGAATTTCATCATAGTTATACCCAGCTAATCTATCTAATCATAATTTTCTTAGCAAGGGGGTGGAGGAGGAGGATTTTAAAATTTAAACTCTCAACGCTGGAGACGTGATAAAATTATTACATGCTCTCTATGTAATATGAATATCCTTGAAGACATCTACCATTTTCTTGCCGTTAGTCCTATCCTAAGAGATTATATTATATATATATTTCTTGGACGTTATTTTAAATATTGTATCAAGTATGAATAGTATAAATACAAACACACAAACACAGTAATAGATATATTATTGTTTGATATTGTCATTCAGTAGTAGTTGGTATTATTGTTGAGTGATATATTTTCTCAATTTTGTATGGGCAAAAAAAAAATTTGTATAATTATAATTATCAGGTAATGTATTTGTAACTTGAGGGAAACAATAAAATAAAAATTAAGTACAATAATAATAATAATTAAAAAATATTATAATAAAATAAAATTTTATATATATATATATATATATATATATATATATATATATATATATATATATATATATATATATATGTTATGTTATTTTATTATAATTTTTTTTAAAGATATATATATATATATACATATATATACATAGATTAGCAAAGAACGTTATACGTTCCCCGCGAAAACTACTCCACCGATTTAAATTGGCGAAATGGTCCGACATATCTTGAGACGGTTTCAATATATTTGTAATCGCTAAAAAGAGTAGACATTTAGAAATACTTTTAACTTTTTTTTTTTTAATTATAGGAAATAATGTTTAACCCTAATTTATCTTAGTTCTTATCAGATGGTTGTATTTTCATCGTAGTTGGAAAAGCTGTCAATAAAAATGTCACATTTGTTTATTTAATATATTTATTGTTTGCTTCTATTTTTCTGCTCGGCAATATGTACTAAAAATTATTTCAAAACATGTGTAATTTTACTCTAACAATAAAAATTTTTGTTGTAATAAAAGCTATCCTTTTTTAATTAATTTTAATTACAACTCATACATTTAATAATTGATTTTTTAAAAATATAAATAAGAAATATATTACTGATAGTCACACATTACATCATTACTTTTACACTTTTTTTATTTTGAAAACAAAAAATTTTGATTGAACTCGTCACTCGAGTCGTCTGAGCGATCTAAAATTTAGTTACATGGTTGTACATAATATGTAAAATATTTTAAATATAAATTATTATTATTTTTAGACATATTTCATTTAATGTCTCAACCATTCAAGTGTTTGACGAAACCATCTAGCATGACTGGAGATCAAAGCTGTAAGAGGCCGGTTCTCTACGCGATAAGAATATTAGAAAAAAAACAAATGAAATTTCATATTTAAAACGTGATCTGTGTTTTAAAATTCTTCGACGCATTGTTTTCGTTTATGACATTTTTTAACAGTTTATCTTTGAATTACATCATCGTCTTATCTGTTTCTACACAAAGACCAGTGACACTTCAGTTATTTTTTTCCTATATGCTCTAGCAAGATATTGCATTCCTCAAACGTCTGAACGTTCCGTTAAATTTGAATACGAACGTCAACGGTCTTAGCAAATTGATGCTTGAAACGAGCATAATCCTAAATTCAATAAAATAATCTTTAATTTATCCTAGAGAATTATATGGAGTTGATAACAAACAAATTAAACCTTGGCCCAGTTTACCTCAGTCTTTCCTCTTTCGCTTGTACGAAAACATAATAAAGATATTTGTGTTATGTAAACACATAAGAATTATGAATATTTTTAATTTAATATATATATTTTTTTAAATTATCATTTGATCGTGTAGTCCTGCAAAAAAAAAAAAACGGTTTTATAAAAATATAAATTTAGGGTAATGAGTGTTATTTTATTTGTATTGGTTTCTGCATAACTGCACGACAGGGATTTAAAAGAAATTTTTAAAAAATGATGGTGTGTGAGCTTGCTTGAATAAACTAGTATTCCTTCACAAAAAAATAAAATAAAATAATGATAATAAAATGCACGATTATAGATTGTAATAAGATAATTCTCTGTTTATTTTATTTTTGAACTACCTATACCACCGATTAATCTATCCTGGGACTGAGTGGTTAAGTGTTGATAAATATATTTCCTTGTTAGGGTAGACTTAGTTTGAGGTCAAGCCTCAAGTCCTTAAGCAGCTACTTGTCTAAGTATTTTGATATTTATCATCGCTAAGGGTCACGTACAATAATCGGTATTTTATTGCGTTTTAATTGACTTCTTGATACCTGTACTTTGACAGTTATCGAAGCCTACTTTAACAAAAAGTTATGTAGTTAATTTTTTTTTAGCTTATTACTCCTCGTTTTTCATATCCTCGACCACAAGCGGATTTAGATGAGGAAGAGGGAGGAGCCTCCCCAAAATAGTAAAATGTAACCAGGTTTTATGGTAAAAAATTATCTCTTTTTTGTTCGTGTAATCACATTTAATAGGACTTCAAGAATCACTTAAACACTATTTCATATATGTAGTGAATATCTTTCTTTTTTTACCAAAGTAATCATCTTTATATATATAAATAATAAGCCTTCGGCTGAAGGCCCATCGCCTCCAAAATGAAATACTGGATTCGCTAGTGTCATCAACCATCCGTTGATAATTACATTCACAATTAATACGATATTTAATGTCTTTAAATGTAGCAGATTTGTCCAGAGACAGATGCTTAGATAAATGGCTTCTCTTACGATTACAATCAGTTCTTGTCTATGCAATGAATCATGAGTCTTCTAGAGTGCATGACCTGAGCTTTCATAGATCTTTTTGTAGAACTGGTAGATTATTTTGCAGAAGTTATTTAATATAGAACTCATTTATTTAAAAAAAAAATTAAAACGACTAAACGATTTTTTTTTTAAATCGACTATGTTTTATGTTTATTTTATGTTTTTTTAATGGTATAATTGCTAAAAGATTGGGATAAGTTTACTCACCGAGTATCGCGGCGAGGAACTGCCTCCATTTTCCTATTCGGTCCGTCTTCATCGCTCACTAGAACACATCATTCCGAAGACTGAGCATTTTGCAGCCGGCGTGTTATTGGAGGGGATTCCCCACCGTTCTCGAATCACTGCACTGGATTAGCTCCCACATGAGTTGGGATATATGTGTATATGTATATACATCATATACCCCATGAGATATGTTTATATCGTGCACATTGACGTAGAATATTAATTGAGAATAAAAAAAAAAAAATGATTTTTTAAAAATCCACACGAGTACTTCAAAATATATTTAAATATAAAATATTCAAAGGCAGATAACAGCTATTTAAAAAATATTTCAGCAAAAGTAGAAAAAACAGCTTTGATAAAATGAAAATTAATTCAATGATCAATTCGCTTTTCGTTCATAATAATAATAATAAAATGGCCGTGGAGCGGCCCTGGGTCGGGAGACCCTCCTGGGGCACACCCAGCCTCTATAAAGTGGGTACTTTAATTAATTAAATAATTAATTAAGGGGGAAAACCTAGCGGTTGAGCGTGATCTCGGTCAAATCACCTCCTTGCACAACTAGAAACACCTAATTGACCTAGATAGTGCTTTCCATAAATAGTACTGAACCACAGAACCTTCATGTGTTGTAGTGGTACAGGTTTTTTTTTTTATTATTTTTTTTTTAATAATAAAATATCTTTAGGCTAAATTATGCACATAAATATATATATATATATATATATATATATATATATATATATATATATATATATATATATATATATATAGATATATATAGATATAGAGAGAGAGAGAGAGAGAGAGAGAGAGTGAGAGAGAGAGAGTTTCGTAAGAGAGTTCGCAAAGAAAAATGTTCAAACAGGAGATAGCAGTTAATCCATGCGGTACTGTATTTAATTGATATTCTGTCATCAAGCACCTGGGTCATTAAGAAACAGACCACTTTTTGTCAAATTATTAACATCCGCCTAAAATTTCCTGAATGGCTACATGTCATCGTGACTTATAACTTTTTTATTTAAGAAATGTTCGGAAACGGCGTTTTCAATCTCGAGGTTGGTAAACATTATCTATTTGATGAGGTACTATAAACTCATGAACATCCATTTGCTTTCCACTTGTACATCGAGATAATTTGATTTTAAAACGAAAAACAAACGTGTCCAACTAAATTTTTAGGTCTTTTGGCGTGACCTCTATCTCTCACAAATTCAAATAACGAGGTGATATACACCAAGCGACCTAATATATTTTTACACAATCTTTTTCTAGATATTGTGGTTAAATTATTCCACGATTCGTGTGGAAAGCAAATGGGTATTGATGAGTTATTATTACCTCGTAAAATTAATAAATTTGATGAGAAATCATCCCATTTCTGAAAATTTTCGTAGATTAAAAAGTTGTGGATGGCGATAAGATGAAGTTTTAGTTACCATTCTCGAAGTTTTAGACGGATGTTTATAATTAGATAAAAAGGGGCATGTATCGCTGACTAAAATCTCAAGAACTACAAAAAAAACTACAGTATTCATTACAAATTTTTGTACTAGACCATGGCACTCATTGTGATTAAATAATAACGAAAAAAAAATTAAATTAAAAAATATGTGACAAAATACTTATTCTCAAAAAAACTTCATCTTTAATGATAATGTGCTAGTGTTTTTTTTATATACAGTTTCTATTTTGGAAATTATCCTTAAATGTATTTACTATTCAAAAGTTCCTATTCCTACTATTTGCGCCATGAAGTAAAATAAGGTGATTAATGTTTAATTTTTCCAATGACGTTAATAAATAATAATAATAATAATATTTTATTACTTAAAATTGAAAAAAATTAAAGTAATATTTTTTTTCGATTATGGCTATTTTAGAAATAAAATATCTCATTTCGTTTAATTGTTGCTTTTTTTTTGTAAAATTAAAAATCCAATGGAAGTAGGGTTTCATTTTTAATACTTTCTTCATCTTCAATTTTTAAATGCTTTAATATTGCATCTGATTGAAAGTTTCATTTCCAAAAGAACCTAAACAATATTTGAACATTGTAGTTAATTATTTAAATTAACATATCTAAAAAAATACACCAAGCCCATTGTGATTTATTTTCATTAATATGTAAACATGAGGATCAAGAAAATTTAGTTGGTCTCTTAGTACAATAAGGTTCCATTCCCAAAGAGATCCATGTAAACAACACTAATGGTTCATCACTTAAGATGATAATACCTTATTTTGAAACGGTAGTATTTTTTTTAAAAATAAGTAAAGTTTTTTTTTCGTTATTAATTTATCAAAATACACCCCAGGGCACAGAAAAGAAGGAAATAAAGCTTTGTAATATTTAACCGTATATATTATTTCTAAAGACAGAAGTACTTTTCAAATATAAATAAATAAATATATATATATATATATATATGTATATATATATATATATATATATATATATATATATATATATATATACACATAACTAATTGATTTATATTGAACAAAAAACCTGACCTATTTAAAAAACATAAAATATAAATTTTCTGTAAAAAATGAGATAATCATTCCTTTAAATTTGTTTAGCTTTGAGGTCTGCTATTAACCCTTTAAATATTTGTCTTTATTTATGGGACACCCTGTGTATTTGTTTTTTATTCAATAAATTTCTTTGTTGTTGACGGATGATGTAATAGATGATAGCTGCGAAATCACACAGTTATCATTATAAACAAAATAAAACTAAATTAGCATATTAGAATAATGAAGAAATAAGAACTGCCAGTCGAGTGAAGTGTTATGTGGCCTTGGATTTAACCTAACCACACCTATACGACACGTAGGACATAACTATCCCGGGGGTAAAAATATAAACTGCCTGATTAGAGGTTATAAGCGAGATAATTCTGTCTTAGTTTTCTTGGCGAACTCTCTATACTAAGATCAATTTATCCTGAAATTAAAGTGGTTAAGTGGTTGATAAAAAAAAAAAATAAATATATATATTGAATATATAGTGAATATATATTCACTTTATATATATATATATATATATATATATATATATATATATATATATATTATATATTTATATATTATATATATATATACATATTATATATATATATATTATTTTTTTTTTTTTTTTTTTTTTTTTATCAACCACTTAACCACTTTAATTCCAGGATAAATTGATCTTAGTATAGATAGTTCGTTAGTATATATATATATATATATATATATTTCACTTTATATATTTCAATATATATACATATATATATTGAAATATATAAAGTGAAAACATTGAGGGCAATAGCAATAGCATTAAGGGATTTTGAGCTTAACATCAAATCAAGTGTTAAGTATAAATACTTAATATTAAGTATAAAGGAAATAACTTATGTTATGTAAATAACATAAAAATTAAATTTATTTATTTATCACGATTTAACCGCTTCAGTCTCAGGATGTACATATAAACATAAATATCCGCACATATATTTTATATAATATATACATATATATTTTTTTGTGTAAATAAATTTTTTTATTCTTTAAAGTTTTGAAAATTATCTAAAACTGATGTTTAATATATTTTTATAGAGCTTTTAACTTATTTAAAAATTTTCTGACATTGTTTATCTTAATGTCATATTCCATTTGTGATGTCTATAAAAAAAATTATAACATAATATGAGTTGTCAAGGAAAAAGTTTTATTTTTCTTTTACTACATAATTTTATGATGACGCTTCTCTTTTATTGTTTTATTAAAGTTTATATTTAATTAAACTTAAAAAAAAAACCAGCATAATCCTAAATGTAATAAACTAAGTTTGTATTTTTACCCGACGGATTTAGTTACAGTAACATGGTAATCTTTTTTCTTTCGTGTGAACAAAAACATAATAAACCCTGAATAAACACAATAAAATTATGATCATTGTATTATTTTGATATTCTGGTTTAATTAATGGTTATTACATAAATTTTTATCCTGTCAGGTAATTCTGAATGATAACCGTGCTTCAGAAGGCAGCTATTAAAATAATGATTTTATCTTTATGATGAAATGTTTTAGATTATTTATTTACCAAGGCTTTCTTTGTTTTAAAAAAATCCTAGTCATATGTCTTAATTAATAGAATCTTGTTGATTTTGTAGTAAAAAATAAATGGGAATTAAAAACAGTCAAAATCATAAATAACACTAATACATAATAATACAAATTTGTGCCCCGAAGCTTATGGGCACCATGTCCATGTTTTATTAAATTAGGTATCCTGAAAAAATACAAAAATCTAACATGCTGTTATTTACTTCCAGAGTACAGAAATAATATATAAAAATGTATTTTTGTATTAAGTATTTGTAATTAGCGGCGGTCTTCATGTCCGCTTTAAAATCTTGAAAACCCAATTCGACACATTCACCGATAAACTTATATCCAGGTTTCGAAACCTAGCCAGATGTTTATATCGACTTTTTTGTGTTTTAAATAGAAAAAAAAAACTGAGAATACAATCTCTACAGCGATGTTCGTGTAGCTCTGACGAATTCGATTGGCAGGACGTGTGCAAAGGATGGCTGTCAACGAGATTCCAAAAATGATCCATGTTGAAGAGCTCTACGAGAAACGGCGTGAAACGACCGAACTGAATGGATGGACTCGGTCTCTGCGGGCCCTTCTTGAAGTCCGAAACTGGAAGAGCTCCAGCCAACGACCATAAAAATTGACGGAGGCTTTTGGAAGAGGCCCAGTCTCATTGACAGGATGTCGCGCCAGTTATAGTAATAATAGAGAATACAATCTGTTGACACTGTAAAATTATGAATCCAACGATACCCCGATCAAAGGCGGACGTAACGGTGATGCACGTTGATGCAAGGGGCTCGATAGTACCCTGTCAGGAATGTTGTAGGTTCAACTCCCACCTGGGTGGGTCAGTTAATATTTATATCTTGGGTGCAACGAGAAATGAATATTGACGATCCCAGTCTGGTCAGTACTGGACGACAACTACTAACCGTCAAGATTAGGCAAAAG